AGCAGCGCGAGTATTCCGTCCGTCTCTTTTCTCACTGGTTCATATGCCAGCTGCATTCTCTTGCTTCCAATTCCATCCTAAAGTGGAATGGCTTATTTAAACAACACATAGTTATAACACAAGTCTGCCTAGTGTGTGTGTGCGTGGCAGGAGTTCATGGAAACCTTTGCTTTTCTAAACTAAAATGATGGCTAATTATATTATATAGCACTGATGATACATATATTTCAGAAGAGTGGTATATAGTGCATACACTGTAGTATCATCTTTAGAATTTGTTTATATACTCCACAGACCATTATAGTTGCTTTTAAGAAGATTAAAAATAAGGCTAGCGGCTTTTAAAAATGCAGAAATATGCAGATTTTTTAAAGCATCCCTATATTGTCTTTTCCTTCAAATAGTATTGTCAGATCTTTTGGGGCACTTATTTTACAAAAGCAAATATACCACTGGGCACTTACTAAAGCCGATAAGGAGAGACAAGCTGATTTAAGGAAAGGTTTGCCAAATTGAAAACTGTGGCTAGGATTAGAACCAACAGAATAGGAAAAGAAGAAAAAATGGATCTAAGCAGTGATTTCCCCTTCCTTATTCTTTTTTAAAGGAAAAGATAGAGCCGTGAAAGTGAGCTAGCCAGCTTTTTGCATCCCTGTGAAAATCTGCCCAAATTTGGCCATGTTCTAAACCTTTGAAAAAAATCTTAATTCGCATATGTTCAGTAGAGACCTGCTTGAACATTGCAACTAAATTCTGTAACAATTCCATCTGCACTGAGCATGCTCTAGCCCTGGGCTCTCTCATCCCCATCTAGCGTTGGTTCACAGAGAGGATGATTACCTACTACTACTGTCAGTTGCTTGGTTAGGTCCAGTGGCCAAGGTTGCTGTGCTCGATCAAAAGGTCTCTGTTGATGACTCACGGTTTGATATGATGCCACATGATAGAATCTGTTTTTTCAGTTTGCTTGTCACATGCACCCAAGCACACACACAGAGTTAAGAAACATTTTTAAATTTCAAGCAAAGGCAATCACTCAGTCAGAAAATGCCGGGATAGACCTGCCCAAAGGCTGAACTAGTGCTGTGTAGTGAAGGAGGCTGTTGGGTGCAGAACTCCTGCCTCATTTGTTGCAGAGTGTTGGATTGTAATAAGAGAAAGGAGGGGTTAAACCAGCTGAATGCTAACCTAGAGAATTGCATTCTATGCCTGTCTCTAACTCTAACCACAGAGTTACTATGGAATGCTGGACAAGTCATTTCTACCAGACTTTTCATATGTGGTCACTGATTGTGTGTTCCTCATTTTCTGGATGCCCACTTTGATATCCTGGGCTCTTCTTTGTAGACGTGCTGAACACTCACAACTGCAACTAAAGTCAGTGAGACCTGTACTTTGAATGCATAAAGTGCTTTATAATGCTAAGTCCTCTGAAAAATCAGGTCCTAGGTGACTCAAATTGGGCACCCAACATTTGTTGAAACTCAATCTCACTGTGCCTCAGTTCCCAAGGTTTAAAATGAGAATAATGCCACCCCCACCTCACAGGGCTATTGTGAAACTAAATGAATTAATGTTTGTGAAGCACTCCGATGCTAAAGTGGTGTGCACCATCGTGTAGCCTGATCTATAGATTATGTATTTATTATATAGATTACTTAAGAATTCCTCGTTATCACTTTGAGGGTTGACAGGTTCTTGTCCCAAGATCAGACCCAGTATTATTTAAATGGCTTAAAGGATACAGGCCTGTAGGTTCCTTGCTTTACTGCTGAATATAATAAAGGCAAGCTAGCCCTATGGGATACAAATGAAAAGCCCACGAGGAAATTAATCATTCTGTCTTCAGAGCAGGACTTGAATAGCACAGAATAAATAAGACCTGGGGCAACAAATTGAACAATGAGGAGAAAAGAAAATAACCCCCATCACTGAATGAGGCAGGAGTCCTATAGAAAAACTAATATGCAGCCATGTAACTAAACACTGTATCATAATGCAAGATAATAAGGGGTTAAATTTAGGTTGCACAGGCAACTTGTGAGTGCTTTGCTTTGCAACCTTAATAGTGTTCTTTTAACAAATATTTTCGGTGTGTAATATATGTATCTAGTTCATTGACTTATTTTACTGAGAGTCTAAGGTGCCATTTGGCAAAGTAGTTTGAAATTTTTTTTCTGGAAAGTGCCTTTTTTCTGTAATCTGCAGCAGAAAATTTCATAATTTCATTGGGGGCATTAGACTTAAAAGCACACTTCTACTAAATCTAGAAAAAATAGGAAAGGCTAATTTTGTGAAAGTTTTCTAATCACTTCAACACTTATTTGTATGCAAATACCTGTGCATAGAGAAATGGGCTATGAGATACAGTAACTGCTACAATAAATGGCACTTTAAATAAACAATTACCTAGATGAATAATTTTGAAGTACGCTAAGACTAAGGACCAGGGAGAATGTTAGTGAAGCCATTGTTCCACCGCTATCAGGCTGGAATTTCTTTTGGATTGTCATGAAGAGGGACACCTGGATCAATCAATGTTACATTTTATAAAGTGATAACAATAGACTTCTTTGCTGCTTCTGATATTTCATTACAACTGCTGGAGCAAAGAATCACATTTGTATCATTTTTAATTTTTAAAAATGTAGAAAAGCAGATGGAATCATAAAACAGCAACAGATTACTTAATTACCTCCACCCACTGGGATAAATGGAACATACTACAGAATATATCAAAGCAGACACTGATGAGACACTATTGGTTTCTACAGGTATGCAGGAGTTTTTTCCCTTCAGACATCAGTTCTCTTCGGACACAGGAATATGCCTATTGAATAAATCCAGCAACTAATCATGGTATAACCAAGTACATAGAAGTATGGGAAAGCCAAATCAACTCTATTAAGATATTTCTTATATGTCAGCCATTCAGTGAAATCTGTCACCAATTTACCAGGGATGGACAAAGAGAGGAAAAAAAAGCATGAATATTTCAATTAAGAAATGTCATCAAATGTATGTTTATTTGTGAATTATCACAAACTGTTCATCCAGCTCTATAAAGGGGATAGGAATGAAAACAGAAAAATTTGTTGACCATGAAAAAAAATCATGAAACCCACAAATAACATGATCAGTATTATTCAGCCAGCTCCACTGTTTACTCTGTAAAACATTCATAAGTAAAACTTAATCCAACTTGTATTACTAAGCCAATGCTTCAGCCTTCAAACCCAGAGTTCTGTGAGTAGTCTTTACTTACATGAATATTTAGACAACCAAACATAGTGCAGCATCATGTGGATACTCTTCAGTCAGATTCACAACATTTATATGTTGGCTGATATGTCATGATGTGATCTGGAATAACATTTATTTTAACTGGTGAGGGCATCATGCTTCAAAAATCACAAGTGCGAGTTCTGTAATTGTTTTATTAGGCCAATAGATTCTAGCTGATGATTGCAAATTTACTTGTAATAAGATAGAAAAACTGATCATAAGTATCAGACCCCGGAAGTTTTTTTTTTTTTTAATTATGTGCACTGTTATGTGTTTTATTTTAAAAATTAGTGTCACCAGATAGGTATGTGCATATATTTGATTATTGCTATCTGAATTAATAGCCAGTACGTTAAACCCTCCCCCATCAGAAATAGGTGTTGGTAGAGCCACACAAATATAAAAGAGTGATCGCGGCAAGATTTTCAGCAGACCTCAAGATGTGGTTTTTAGCAGTTTCAAATTAATAGTGGTTAGATTTGGAACATTTCAAACGCACAGTGGATGATTTAAAACCGACTGTAAAATGTGTGTTACATAGAATAAAGAATGAATACAGAAAATACAGTATTGTATTATTTACTGAAGAAAATAACAAGTAAAAATCATGTTATTTTTAAAACAGAGTTAAGTAAACAAATTTAGACCATACAAGCATTGACAAGAAATGTAAATAACTGATTAATTAAGGTTGTAACTACAAGGTGGCTAAATTACTTGAGACCTAAAACTGCAAATGTTGAATACTGTACCTTAAAATGCTTCAAGGGCCTCTGCTTGTACAGTGTGTAAAAGATTTGAAAGTGAAAGATCACAATGAAATGTACATACAATACCTGAATTGAAAAGTTTAGTAGCTCAGTGTATATTAACCCCTTTCCACCCAAAGGAATATCTTTTCTTTTCACTGGGAATTTATCATATTGTTTTTCCCTAGTCCGGGAGGAAAAGGGTTGATATTAAAGGAAACGTGGCTCCAGTATGCAGAAAAGTTATGGCACTGCAACTAAACGAACCACCATCCCTAAGCAACATAAAAATATTCTAATATTAAGGATTATTTTACAACTCAGTGGAAATATGCAGTAATGCAATCCATTTCCTCCGTCTGGATGACAAAAATGCAGTCTTAACAGCCACAAGAGCCTGCCTTGTGTTAGCTATAAAAAAAAATATATTTATATATATATTTATGCAACTACTATGTGTGTTAAACGAAATCACTGAATGAATCAGCAGGGTTCTGCAACACTTTGAATCTGTATTTCTGGGAGGGGTGCACTGGAATCTGCAATGCTTCTCGGGAAGGACTCACAATGAGGATAAAAATCCATTTGTTTAAAATCTTAACATTTTTTCATCACATTTTCTGAGAAATGGTCTATGTTGATTTCTGCCAGCATCAGCCAAAAGCATCTGTTGCCTTCATTTCAGCCCACTGTTTGGAAATGGAAGCGGCATCCCTTAAAACAAATCCAATAATTAATTGTTTAGTGAACATTGAAACTGAAAATTAGTCCAATTTCACCATGAACTCCAATTATACAGCCCAATTTCACCATAGTGAAAACTCCCAGCTATTTTTTCTAACCGCCTTGTGCTAACTTTATAATTCTTTATCATGGCTTGTTTAAGGGATATTAACCAACAAAGTACAAGAAACATTCTACTACTCCTGGAAAGAATATATGTTGTACTGTAACTCACTCACTCACTTGGTTATATTAGTTTGGCATTGAACACTCAGAATTGTATTCCACATTCATTTGTAGAAGTATAGAAAATTGCTTATTTTTTACCTGCATTGAATTGATTTTCTTAGCAACCTTGTCAAAACTGACCTTTGCTCTTTGCATGAAAGGGTTACAGATTTGTAACACAGTTTATCTTTGAGACACCAGAGAAGAATGCTTGAACAAAAGGGTAGCACCCTGATGAACTAAAGCTTTATTATATTTTTTGATTCTTATGCAACCCCATACCTAAGCCAATAACATGGCATTTGTGCCACATTTCTGAGACTGTAGATGTCCACTCAGGGTGTTCTGAATGAACTATTGTATGTCAATCCACTAAGAAAACTACAGCGCAGTGGTAATCTGGTATCCTAAATCGTTTTTTCTTCTTGGACAAGATTTATCCAACAATCTTCTTTCTTTACAGCTACAGCAGCTCAGGCCTCCTTTTCTTTAAAGAGAGGCAAAGTAAATGTCTTACACCTGTAGACCAGTACTGGTGCTCTTGTCCTAGAAATTTTAGCACTGCTCTGATACAATGAAGCCTTCTTTTTCTCCAACTGGTTCCACTTCAGCATACGCAGGATGTCCTGAGCCTCTTCGAAATTTCATTGCAGGCCATCTGCTTGGGCGGCGCTAGAAAAGAAACAACAACAAAATCCTTTTTAGAATATGTAAGGGATAACAACAAAAAAGCACGTGTTTAAAAGTACCTTATAATTTCATTTGCCTTGATACTAAAATCCAATTGGCTAACACTGTAGGCCGTTTTGGGAGCTGTGGGGAAGGGGTAGATGCAGGGCCGGCTCCAGGCACCAGCTTGTCAAGCAGGTGCTTGGGGCCACTCCAGAGAGGGGCGGCACATCCAGCTATTCGGCGGCAATTCGGCGGATGGTCCCTCACTCCGGCTCGGAGCGAAGGACCTCCCGCCGAATTGCCGCCGCAGATCGCGATCGCGGCTTTTTTGTTTGTTTGTTTTGTTTTGGCTGCTTGGGGCAGCCAAAACCCTGGAGCCGGCCCTGGGTAGATGACTAGAGCTGAAGAAGTTAATCCTTCCTTCTAGACTCATAAGGAAAGCCTGGCATTCTCAAGCAGCCCAGCAGGGGCTACTAGTCCTGGGAAGATGAGCTAGTGTTGCCTGCTGTCTCCTCCCCCTCCATCTGGGGTTTTGGTAGATCTTCACTGTGCACAGAGTCACTGGCCAATCAACCCACTCCCAGGCCTGCCCACAATGCCTCCTTTCATAGTCCTGCATAGAGAGTTGCCATCAAGCTCTACTCTGTGGTGCAGTATATTACACAGTCCCGCTGAATGGTCTCTCTTCCACTGCAGAAAGGTGGAGTCCAGGTTGCAATGTGACATGTTGTGATTCTTGAGCCTATAAATGTACCCTAATTGTGAGCCTAACTGTGGGAAAGGAGATAAAAGTTTATGAAGTGTCACAATAATCTAGCACAACGAATGCTGATGGGAAAAAGTGCAAAAGTAAGACAGAAAGACTGAATTAATCCAAACAAAATGGCCTGCTGATATAATTCAAGGACCGTGTTAAGATCTTGCTTGGTAAACAAAAACCATGTGAGACCGGAAATCAATTAACCAAAATTGGCATTTTGGAAATTAGGCCTAACTGGTGGACAAAATAATGAGCGGGATGGGCTATTCCACCCATTGCTCCCTTTTGGTGTCCTCAAAAGGAGATTTTTTCGGAGGGGGGGAAAGCTGGTTATGCAACATTGGCTGACGGAAAAATGAGACTAAGGGGAAGGAGCGAGCTTCATCATCATGACTGTAAACCCCACCATCTCTGGGGACCCCAAACTGTCTTTGTCCTAATCCTGAAAGATATTCTGATCAGACTGGGCCAGAGAGAGGGACCCAGATGACATCACTACCTTCACTTCTGGCTCCAGCTAAATCTCAGTCACCACCTGGGATGTGAGACTATGTCTAACCCTTGCGCCCCATGTGTTCTTTTTCCTCCCCACTATTTTTTCTTTCCTATCCCTCTCCTTTTTCCTTTTGTCTAACAAAAGTCTGGCTTAGCCAGCCAAGACTGCATATTTTGCAATACTGCTGTGAGTCTGTGACTAGAAAGAGGGAGCTAAACGCAATGCCCTAAACAGCCAAGGCTGTGACAAGTTTGCCAGGTCTCAGAGTGTTTGATAAGACTGTGCTGTGAGGCTGCAAATGAATCAACATTCAACAGAGATGGAAGCTGTTATTTTCTATCTTCTTCTCTCGTCTTGTGCGTGTTTGTCTTGTTTTGTCTTCTAGGAAACAGGATTGGACTTTACCAACAACAGCTCTGGCTCATCTCAACTAACTTCTTTTCTTTTTCCCAAGAGAACAGTTATTACCATCTTTAATACCATCTAAGAGACTTTTAAAGAAAGTGTTTTTACTTCAAAAGACTCTTTCCAGCCAAAAAGAAAGGGAACAAGGGATGTTGTTAAAATGAAAGCCTTACTTAATACTTTACATTTCAAATGCTTTAACTGTTTATCCTTCTTCTTCTGTACCTTTTATAAAAGGTTAAAAAGAGTTTTGATGATGTGTTTGCCATGGTATTATGCCCGAACCTTGTTTAAAAATGTTTGATATTGGGCCATTTCAGGATCATGTTAACACCTTTGACTCTTTGGGCCCATATATTCCATCTATATTAATACAACAGATATTTCTGTTTCATATCAGTCCTTAGAGCCAAATTCTGGCACTCTTACCTGGGTTTCCAAGAGACTAAAATTCCAATTTGAATAACTACATTCAGCCTGATTAATTTCCCCTGTAGCAGTTTCAAATAGATGAAGTACTGATCCTTGAATTTTGCCAGGTGTAAAAATTGTGTAGTCAGACATGCATTAACGCATGGTCTGGCAGGGAGCCATGGGGCACCACCTGGTTGGATAAGGTGAAGAGGATCTGAACAAGGTAGTGGCCAAATTCCCACGGGTCATAAGAGGCTCAGCTATTTTGCAACCTGGTGCACCAGAATTATTCAGGGAGGATGGGGTTCCCCTGCCAGGCTTGGGTGCTGATTTGGTTTTGGCCAATATAAAAGAGGGCAGTGGAAGATGTCTGGGAACCCGACTGGGTTTGGTGGGGGAAGCAGCCAAGCTAATTGCTGGCACCTCCTTGTGGCGGTTGTCCAGTGCAGGTACTCCATAGGAAAGGTATACAGTGATCAGATAAATGGCCTGGTAAAGGATTTAAAAAGGAGGTGTTGATTAAAGGAATGGAATAGGGTGGAGGGTTTGGGGATCCTATGAATGGTATGGTAGGGAGCCAAGTCCCCTTTCTCATAGTCCACCTTAAACCTGCTACGAGGGGTGGTGGTGACCTGGATGGAAAAAGAGTGGGGGCTGGTGGAAGACATCCCAGACATCTAATAATAAAATTGCAGCCTGATTAAAACCATAACAAATGTCTCTGGTACTTCTTTCGATATAGCCAGACAACTACATTCTGCCTGAGTAAGTTTCCCTGCAGCCATTTCAAATAGCTGTAGTATCTTCATTCCAACCATCCTAATGTGTTTTGTACTGTTAGGACCTCATCCAGCTCCCACAGAATTTTTTTCCATTGACTTCATCGGGAACTAGATCAGTTCTTTAAGGAGCAGCCAAGAACCAGCCAAGTGAAGTGGATACATTTCAGTGGTAGATGAAATGAGATTCCTGTATATCTATAACGCCTTCTGAGATGAAAGACACTTCTAAGCCCTACATTTTCAAAAGTAACTAGTGCTTATGGGGCTCAATTTTTAGGTGCCCAAGCTGATGCATATTTAAGGATGCTGATTTTCAAAGGCTGATTGCTCAGTACTTTCTGAAAAGCAGCCCCTTCAAGGTATCTCAAATTAAGTGCCCAACGTCATTAGTCACTTCTGAAAATTTTGGCCTAAGTAAATATGCTATTAATTACCTATTGTTTCCTCTTCAAAGCTACTACATAAAGTAGCAGTCAGCTTTAGGGGACTGCTGAATTACACAGCAAACATTCCAATAGTGCTCGAGGAAAACAGAAGGATGAGGAAAGAAAATCAGTTCCATTTTATATTTTCATTTTAAGACCGAGACACAGCTTAAATGGCTTTTTCTCAGATTCCTACTTGACTGTGAGGAAAACTCTGTTCTGACCACAAGATCTTTTTACTTTTCCTGTCCTGAAAATAAATTCCTCTAAATATCTCCTTTTGCTGTCGTGTTACTGTGCTTCTTGCTGTTTAGTATATTTGATGGCAGAGACAATCTGTGCTAAGAACCACTGAACACCCGCTGCTGTTACATTATATTGGGATTAGTGAAGCTAATTTAGAGCAGGATTAGCTAAAGAATTTCTCAGGGACTGCTGAATTCCAATCTCAAAAAGACTGTAACTGTGAGGACATTGGTGGTAGGGCACAAAGAAAGGCTTACATGGGGATCACTGTCATGCAGCTATACTACAAAAGCTGCTGCTCTCCCCCACCCCCCTTCTAGCGTCAGGTGTGCTTTTGAGGTGTGCAATGTTAAATTTTATTTGACAGTTAATTTAAAATCTATGGCTTCTTAGTGTAAAACCTCGCAATATTAAAAGTAGGAATGTATAGTGCTGTCCTTTTGAAAGGACATGTTTTCCCTAATAAGGAAACTCAGCCCATTGCAAATTTTTTTAGACTTTCCATGTATACTGGATTCAGATTGTTTTAAAGATTAAAAAGGACAGTTAGGTTATTGCTAACGAAGAGGCATCAAATCCTGTTCTCAGATTCACTGGTGTAAATCCAGATTAATTTGATTAAACCCAATGAAGTTATTCTAGACTTACACCATTATAAATTAGAACAGAATTTGACCTGATACGTCTCTAATGAAAAGAGAAAATGAAAAACCAATGGAAAACCAGTAGGGAAAAATAATTAGAAACAGAGTCTCAGAAGACAGTGACTAAGGATGATCTAAGTTTTAATGTATTAAGATGTTCTCCAATTTTATTTGAAGATGTAACCAAGGTTAGTTTTTGGCTCCTTCTTTTACTACCAATGCCAACCTGATTTTACCATTTTTAGCTCTGCTGTCTACGGGCAACATACTTTTTAATTGGCCTTTCCTTTTGATGAAAAATGCATCAGTTCACCTAACATGGGATAAAGCGTAAATGTCAGCCGTTGCCCCAGAAACAAACAAACAAATAAATCTGAAGGTCATCTTCAAACACCAGAGTTCAAACTCCGTGAAGATTCTTTTCATGCCAGAGGTCAGAGAAATATTTGTATGCTACCTTGTCAGGTTTTACATTGCTAATAACATACACTGGGGTTTTTGTTGTTGTTGCTGTCGTTTTTTGTATGTGTGTATGTGGTATGATCTAGTCTTTGAAAACAGAACATTGACAAGCTACTGATTCACTTGACTTTGTTGCTGACCCAGATAAAACTGTAGAGATATTACAGTTTTAATTGATAAAACTAAAAGTAACTTAATGGGTATCATGGGATTTGAAGCTCCTCAAGCTACCACAGCAGCCCAGGAAGAGCATAATGAATTCTCTGCATTTGCTCTCTCTCAAGTAGAACAAGGAACAAACAAATTGGGGTGGGGAGACGGGAGGGAGATATTTAGATTAATTCCTTAGTTCTTGTCCTCTCCCTC